CAGCTCTATGTCTCTTTCTGTTCAGTAGTATGAGTGTCTTCTGCTTCCTTTCTCTCTCTGCTTGCACCTTCAATCATATAATCAAGTGATTTGGAAAAAAAAAAAAATAATCCTAATCCACAACACAATGATCTAAGGATCCCACAAGGTTGTGTTCTCTTCTGGCTCTACACATTGCCTCAGAAATCTCACTGGTAAATGTAAATTGTGCTTTTATGCTGTCACATTACCATCCACTTCCCATACAAGACTATCTCCCTTCCACCAAAACCAATTCTCAGCATCTAATATAATCTCTCAGACTTCTAGCAGCCAACTCAATGTCAGAATTCCTACCTCGCTCTCCCATCCAAAAGCTCTCCCCTCCTTGGCAGTTTTGTTACTATCCAGCCCACAGCCACTTAAATCCCTAACCCAAACAAGCTTTAAACTAATTTTTCCCTACATTTTTCCCACCCACAGTCTGGATAAACCTTGTTGATCTGTTCTGCAAAATAACTGACAATCTCAGGTAGACTTTTACCATCTGGCACTTCTATTATTTCAACATCCTTCTCTGGCCCAGAACAGAACAAAAAAAAAAAAAAAAAAAACACCACACATAAAAAAACCAAAGCAAAACAAAAAAAAACCCAAACCAAAACAAACCAAAACACCCCCACACAAACTTATCCCGGTCACATCTATGCAGAATGCTTCTCCAAAGGACATTTAACTTGCCAGTTGAACCGTGTCACGGAGGAAAGAGGAAGTATACGTATTTCAGACATTTCTCTATGGATTATGGGCATAAATTTGGTACTGCTTTCAAAAAAAGTTACATTCTAACCTTGCTTTGTTGCCAGATGATGCAAGATGCTGACTTCAACTGCTGCTTGACCAGCAGCAGTAGGCTCCATCACTTACTGGACAGGCTTTCAAGGAAACACCTTCACACCTTTTCCTACATGAGAAAAAGCTTTCTATCCAACACTGCTTTATCGTGACACGTACAAAGAAGCGACATTAGCTACACTACCTATGCACCAAAATCACTTAACACTGATCAACATGGTCTTACTTCTTTGTACTCCATCAGTTTCCTCACATTATGTTCCTAATTAGAGCCAGCTCCAACAGATGTATTTGCCTGAGCCTACACACGGCCAATACTATTAATAAACAAAAAAGGTAGAAAACTCAAGTAAGAAGGCAGATGCTAGTCAAAAATGTAAGCATTTCCCCAACCACCACCATTTCCTGCATTTTTAACATCTCGAAACAAGCAGCAGAAGGCTGTTGTGATATCTGGGACCATTTCGGAGTACGATCGAAGATAAAGGAAGAGATTGGTTCTCCATTACCAATTTAATTCCAGTCGCTTTCCATTAAGCCAGTTTAAGAACTATCATTGCATTCCCAGATAAAAAGAAATAAAGACTCCTTAGTATCTGACGAGGTTTCTCACCTCCTGAAGCGGGTCTGTGGTTGGAGGTAGAAACTGAAAATATTATTGTGATCTTAAAGATTTCTTTCAGAAGTAGATATTAACTGAAAGCAGTTACGATTGGAGCGAGGAGAAGCTTGATGCAACACTGGAACTTTACGAGCATCTCTCTTCTCCCAGCTACATGCTTGTTTGTAGGACACATTTTATCCTTAGTCCAACAGCCACACGGAATGGGGACTTGGTGGGGAGGAGACCCTAATGGCAGGTACCTTGTATTTTCACAAGGAATATCCTTCCTACTTCAGCCCACCACATCTGAAGCTACCCCATATACTTGAAAACTCTAAACTACAATTGTGGCTACCTAAGCAGAAGGCTCAGTTCATGGGCCCCAGTGAGACACCACAGGTCTGTTTCTAAAGCCAGAGGTTATGAAGGAAGACTAAGACACGTGCAACACTTCCCTATCCATTGAGAGAAAAATTAAGTGTAGTACAGCAAGTAATCTCAGTGTTCACTGAGAGCTGCTGGGTGGTAAACTATCATCTGACTACTTGCTGTTAAAACTGCACTGTAACCTGCAATCCCTTCCAAACGGGTTTGCTTCTGGAATTTCCTTAGTTTTCAACCGACTATGTGTAAGATCTATAAATATTTCAGAGTAACTACATAAAGAGTCACCACACAAGAAATTCCTGACTTTCTCCATAATGTGAGCACTGTTTCAAGTTTCTAAGAAATGAACTTCAGCTCCAAGGCCAATAACCCCAACACTCAGGAGTTTCTATAAGCACGATTTCCCAGCTCTAAACCAGAGATAATGTATTAAGTCTACTAAAAAAAAGTTCAACTTAGTAATATAACTAGATCCAAGTAATGTGTAAAACTGCAGTAAAAAGTCAGCTGTCTGCCTGAGCCAAAGCTCAGCCATTCATTTGCAGTATCTGCTGACCAGACCCTGAGTATATATTTCCAATTTTTTATTTTGAATAACAATTTCAACCAAAAATATGTATCTCCTAGCAAAACTGGAGCCGACTACCACCTTGCTATACAGTGTATGAAGCTGAATCCTGCCAAGCTGAGCTTTCAGCCAGTGATCCCACGTGTAGCTCATGCCTCCCTGCACCTGCAGGCATGTGGTTGTTTACGTAAGTGCATCTACACACGATTATGTGAGACTAAAGGGACTTGCATCCTCCCTCCATCACTAGCCCGTCTCCTACTCTTCTGTTGGTACCATCTTCTTACCACAGCAGTAGACTACCCATTTTCCTGAAGTGCTACTCAGTGTCTCACAAGCTGGAAACCAGCTGCAGGGCTAGACTGGTAAGGCAAATGGTGTTTAGACTCCAGCAGAGAGCTGGAGACAGGAGCAAGAGCCTCTCCCTAACTACACCCCACTTAAAAACACATTTGTCTCCCATAGCCAGGGGAAGAGCATCTAGATCCAGTGCTGGGAAAAACCCAAAGCTTAGGGAAAAAAAACGAGATGAAATACTTGTCCAGGAAAACAGTCTCACACATGTTTTGAGCACATCAAGCCGGTCTGCTACGGTAACTTAAGAACTTAAAGATGCATTAGTTGAAGACAACCTGTTTTACTTTGATTAGTACTGACCAGCAACATTCATAAAACCATGTCTCAGATGAGGCAAGACAGTTCTGTACTGGACCAAAATTGTATCACCTGGTTCATACTGAAATTCAGTTGCCTTTTTTTCCTAACTTGTAATCAGATCTGCATATTCAGAAATAACTTCAACTTGGTGAAATACACCCATTTGAAAATAAAAAAATATATTCTTTTTGCCTACAAGTTTGATGTAATATATTTCATAATTATAAAGTATTCTTTATATATAATGATTCCTTCAAAGCAAAACAGAGCTCAGACCTGAGAAAAGCCTTACTACACATTTGATAAATGGATTGAGGAGGAGGTGAAAAAGAAGGGAGGGAAAGGAGCAAAAGAGGAAAAAAAAATGAGTAGAAATATACTATATGGCTTAGAGAAGAGGACAAGATAACACACAAGAGAGACAGAAAAGGAAATGCACAGAATATACTGTGACCCGCTGTAGGAAAGAAATAAAACCAACTTGTGGGACAGCCCCATCACACAGGCTGAGGCTACAACAGCCAGACAGGGTGGGACAGAAGACATGAAGAAGAAACCAGAGTCTCTCCACATTTCACGATGTGGGTAGTACTGTGTGCCTTGTCATACCTCACAGGCAGACAACGAAATCACCTTTGCTTAACACTGCACGTCTGCACAGCCGTCATAGTTCACGCTAAACGCCCATTCTCCAGGTCAAAACCCAAATATTGCTTTCAAACCTTAGTGAAATCTTCAACAATTAAACAATATTAAAAAAAAAATCAGGTGAAAACAACCGCCCTCTAATCTGATGTTCCCACGATAAGTCTTATCTTTTTTGTTCAGTGGGGTGAGTGGAAGGAGGAAGAAACGTGGCAGGGAAGGGAGAGGACGTGTTCCCAGTGCCCAGCACCACCCAGTTTGTTTTCTTCTCTTCGCCTGCCGCTCAACTTCCACATGCACAGGCCAGTGACAGCCAATACCTGATCGACTGCTGTGAAAAGCAGTGGCTTCACATGGACACTGGCTGTGCTATCCATTCATTTCCCACCTTCTCCGGAACCACAGCTCCCCTTTCTAAGTGAGGAGTATGTGCCGTCTTGCAAAACGGAGCCTACACCGGGGCTTGTCAGTAATTTCATGTATCACGGTTTGCATTGTATTGTTCTTAAAGCACACATCAAGGCTCTTCAGTTGGCAGCTCTTAACCAATAATAAAAAAAACTCCCTGCCTATAACAGATAATTAAATAGCCAGCGAAAAGTCAGCTCTTCTTTCACGACTCCAGGAATCACTGTAACCTCGTCAAACCCGAGAAAGGCTAGTTTTTCAGCAGTTTGCAGACAATACTTCTTGCCCCTCCCAACAGCCAGTTCTCTGCACAGGGCCTGATAGCATCAAGGTCCCAACACAAAACACTCACCACAGCGAGTGGGGAGGAAAAGAAAAAAACAAAACAAAACCACAACACAAAAAGAAGTGATTCTGCACAGCCCTCCTTGGTTGAAGGAGGCTGGCTCTTGCTCTAAAACATTCACTGCTGCTAATAACTTTGACAACATGGAAAACACTTTCCCCAGTCTTGCCCTGTTAAACTAACCAATAATTTTGTATAATACAAGAAGCATAGCTTCCTGCCCCATCCTAACCATTGCAAAATGGTACATTATTATTTATCCAAGAGAGCTCATTTGAAAAAAAAATTTCTTGAGGTATCTTTATTGTTATAAAACTCCTGAAAGCTTTGTATTCTTTATTTTTGCTATCATGGACATCTCTGTGTTAATCCTGTAGAAAACAGTCAACATACCAAAACAACTGAGTGCAGCAGGGCATAAGTAGTGATCATGCCACCTCTCTGACCTCCACCCAGGTATTTTTTCAGCTCTGAAATGAACTTTTGCATATGGAGGGAGAGAGATACAGGAAATATTGAGGTTACAAGTATGTGAATAGAAACTGACTCACCACAGTCCTTTGCTTGTTGGGCAGGAAGACTCTAACAATAGGCTTCTGTGGAGACTTAGGGTTATTCCGTGACATATCAGCAGGGTTTTGATAAACCGAAAGGGATGAAGGTGCTACAGAGAGGCTAGAGGAGGAAGATGATGCAACTGTGTCTGTTGAAGCCGAACTGGAGACAGAGAAATCTGTGCCGTTCCCCATGGATTCCAATAGCTGCTGTTCTCTCTGCTGCAGAGCATCTAGTTTGCTGGTGTACTCTTCATAGGCCTGCGAAAGAGCAGCAGCTGTTTTAAGGATGTAGTGGCCTCAGACAAAACCAGAAATCTAAATTCAGATCGAACATGTAACAAAACTTCTAAACTAATTCAAATTTCCCAGGACTACGAATAAAATGGTCTAGTCAAATTTTTCAGTAGGACACAAAGAAGGAATGGCATTCAATTTATTATGTTAAATCTGAACCAACAACTAATTTTTTAATAGACTAAATGGGTAAATGGTTTTAAAAAAAAAAAAAAAAAAACAAAACATAAGTCAAAGTCTCAAGGCACCTGCACTAAATAGTCTAATTCAAAACTACTTTAAAGATGACAACAATCTTTAACAAATGCTGTCAGCAGCATTGCTGAATTACTGTGCTACAGCTGAATTTATCCTTTGGTTGGAATGACAGCTAAATAGATCTAACGCAATAATCAAGAGTAAGCCAAAATCTGCTTTTTATGATTTCTATCTGACAACTCACTTAACTCACTGTTCACCATCATTCACCTCTGCAACGATCCTTTTATACCAGGTAGTACAAAAGGCTTGATTGTAGTTAGAACGCAACTAAGTTTGCCCTGTTATAAAGTTATCTGTAAACATGAAAAGGTAATCCTTTGAAAGAATTTTTTAACATCTGTATGAGATTAATGTGATTTTCCAAGTTTATGTAAAACCTGACTTCCTACTGACCAAGTTCCTTAAACAAAAAATCAGTAATGTTAAATTTGCCCATTAAGTTTTTATTGAATGTAGCCAAGTTAAACATTATTGCCAAGCTCTATAATACAAATACATAAACAGTATATGTTTTTATTTAAGGTTTGTTTCAATCAACTTTCTTTGTATTTGTAACAAGAATATTTTGATCTCCATTCAAGTATCAGAATTATTTTTTCAGCATATAAATGAGTACAGAGCAACTTCAAAAATCTGATTCCACTACAGAATATGTGTTCCATGCTATATAACCATGCCTGTGTTAACCAAGGATGTGTTAGACCTTTACAGACAAGAAGAGATAAAGATCTTGCAAACCTAACATCTAAGCAGTGGGGAACAGAATTTTCTACTTAGCTCTGTAGCAAGACCAAGATCTATGCCAACCTGCATAAATTTTCAATGCCACAAAGCGTATTCATGGTAGGGAAAGATACTTGGTGGGTTTTTTGTTTGGTTGGTTTTTTTGTTTTGTTTTGCTTTGGATTTTGTTAAAAAAAAAAAAATTATTTTCTCAAGTTTTCTGTGTATAATGTGTTGCTAATTAAAGTTATATGAGAATTGAGCTGACCCAAAAGTCTGCAGGATTTACATGTGGAAAACAAACATTACAGTTAAGAAAAAAAAACACAAAAACCTAGTATTCAGTAGTGCTGCCAGAAATACTACATTTTATTATGAATTTATTTCTCTTGGTTGTATGTGCAGGTTCACTTAACCCATGCGGGTTTTGTCAGGTAAACAGCGGTTGGCCCCTTGCTTTTTACAAAGGTTTAGCATCCCCCAGGATGGACTGATGTTCAAAATCTCTGCTACCATCCCCACAGCGTTAACAAAGAGAATGATAATTTGACAGTGAAGACTAAGAAAGAAAAAGCATTTTAAAGAATGGTGGTGAACATAATTCCAAATTCTAAATTTTATGGGTTCCATTTTTAATAAATGGAGGTAAGTTGCAGGAAACTGAGAGCTACTTACTATTTCTTGTAAAAATTGAAGCTGTCTAGTGTTTCACAAATAGACGCCATACTTGGAGACTTAAAGCCAAAAGAGTTTCACTCTAGCCCAATTCTACTGTCAAAAGTAAATTGAAAGGCTAACCAATTATAAATAACGACATTTTTTGGCTGTACAGGAACACAAATGTCTCTCTCCTACTTCCAGGATCAACTTTTCATGTAAATTCCAGTAAAAGCTCCATGTGCCAAGAATTATTTTCAGTAAACAAAAATTAAGAACCATAAACTGTTACCATTTCACCAATACTTTTCTAAATATTTACTTCCTTTTCTCATGAACATTGCAAAATATAATTTGAAAACATGCAACATTACATTGCTTCCGGATACTTGCGGGCTTAGTTCCTTCAGAAAGTTACACACATCTTTCAAAATACTCAATCCTACAATGTTTATACTGGCAGCTTAATCTGTCACTAATGCAAACTCCAAGTCAAATGATTTATCTTAAGAGAATAAACAATGAGCATGGAAAGCTGGGAGCTGCTGCTGGCTTTGGGTTCTATACCATTAAATTCTGCGTGAAAAGCTCTCTTTTATGAAGACAAAAGCTCTCAAGTATTATACTGTGACTCAATGTCATAGCAGAAGATCCCATCATAAAACATAATGGAACTAGAAATGCATCAGTAGACTCGAAATATATTTTTCTGGTTTTAAAAAATAAATTCTTTTTATACAAAAGGAGCAACAGTACATGCAGCAGAAACAGAATAGCTCCAGTAAAATCCAATTTTCACAAAGATTAAGTGCTTTGGCGAGACATTGGTTTCAGCTGATGACTAGCACCCGTAGACCTTACACAGACAACAGCACCAAGTCAAAACAGAGAGTTACCCCATGGCATTAAACTGAACAAGTATTACAGCAGCAAAGCTGACCTATGGCAAGTATTTCTAGCTAAAAGAAGGATTATGCCACAGAGTCGGCCTATCAACAACAGAGACCTGCAGCAGCATGTCCATATTAGCAGACAGGCATCGACAGCTACACTAAAGCTTCAAGTCAGTCAAGGCCCTCTGGGTCAGCTGTAAGGTTAATTTCTAACAGTTTTTCAAAAAGAAAAATTAAAATTAAGTTTGTACAGCATCTACAGCATGAAGAAGATCAAGCTGATCATTCAAGCGATTCATTAAATTAAGGATTTTAAAGGCATTTCAGAAGGAAAATTTTATGAAATCTAGAACGAAATCCATTCAGTTTAAATATTCTCATTAAGAAAGGGGAAACAGTCTAGAAGAAAACTTAAGTCTTGCTTTCAGCTTGGGGGAAGAGGGGGAAGAGGGGGAAGAGGGGGAAGAGGGGGAAGAGGGGGAAGAGGGGGAAGAGGGGGAAGAGGGGGAAGAGGGGGAAGAGGGGGAAGAGGGGGAAGAGGGGGAAGAGGGGGAAGAGGGGGAAGAGGGGGAAGAGGGGGAAGAGGGGGAAGAGGGGGAAGAGGGGGAAGAGGGGGAAGAGGGGGAAGAGGGGGAAGAGGGGGAAGAGGGGGAAGAGGGGGAAGAGGGGGAAGAGGGGGAAGAGGGGGAAGAGGGGGAAGAGGGGGAAGAGGGGGAAGAGGGGGAAGAGGGGGAAGAGGGGGAAGAGGGGGAAGAGGGGGAAGAGGGGGAAGAGGGGGAAGAGGGGGAAGAGGGGGAAGAGGGGGAAGAGGGGGAAGAGGGGGAAGAGGGGGAAGAGGGGGAAGAGGGGGAAGAGGGGGAAGAGGGGGAAGAGGGGGAAGAGGGGGAAGAGGGGGAAGAGGGGGAAGAGGGGGAAGAGGGGGAAGAGGGGGAAGAGGGGGAAGAGGGGGAAGAGGGGGAAGAGGGGGAAGAGGGGGAAGAGGGGGAAGAGGGGGAAGAGGGGGAAGAGGGGGAAGAGGGGGAAGAGGGGGAAGAGGGGGAAGAGGGGGAAGAGGGGGAAGAGGGGGAAGAGGGGGAAGAGGGGGAAGAGGGGGAAGAGGGGGAAGAGGGGGAAGAGGGGAAGAGGGGGAAGAGGGGGAAGAGGGGGAAGAGGGGGAAGAGGGGGAAGAGGGGGAAGAGGGGGAAGAGGGGGAAGAGGGGGAAGAGGGGGAAGAGGGGGAAGAGGGGGAAGAGGGGGAAGAGGGGGAAGAGGGGGAAGAGGGGGAAGAGGGGGAAGAGGGGGAAGAGGGGGAAGAGGGGGAAGAGGGGGAAGAGGGGGAAGAGGGGGAAGAGGGGGAAGAGGGGGAAGAGGGGGAAGAGGGGGAAGAGGGGGAAGAGGGGGAAGAGGGGGAAGAGGGGGAAGAGGGGGAAGAGGGGGAAGAGGGGGAAGAGGGGGAAGAGGGGGAAGAGGGGGAAGAGGGGGAAGAGGGGGAAGAGGGGGAAGAGGGGGAAGAGGGGGAAGAGGGGGAAGAGGGGGAAGAGGGGGAAGAGGGGGAAGAGGGGGAAGAGGGGGAAGAGGGGGAAGAGGGGGAAGAGGGGGAAGAGGGGGAAGAGGGGGAAGAGGGGGAAGAGGGGGAAGAGGGGGAAGAGGGGGAAGAGGGGGAAGAGGGGGAAGAGGGGGAAGAGGGGGAAGAGGGGGAAGAGGGGGAAGAGGGGGAAGAGGGGGAAGAGGGGGAAGAGGGGGAAGAGGGGGAAGAGGGGGAAGAGGGGGAAGAGGGGGAAGAGGGGGAAGAGGGGGAAGAGGGGGAAGAGGGGGAAGAGGGGGAAGAGGGGGAAGAGGGGGAAGAGGGGGAAGAGGGGGAAGAGGGGGAAGAGGGGGAAGAGGGGGAAGAGGGGGAAGAGGGGGAAGAGGGGGAAGAGGGGGAAGAGGGGGAAGAGGGGGAAGAGGGGGAAGAGGGGGAAGAGGGGGAAGAGGGGGAAGAGGGGGAAGAGGGGGAAGAGGGGGAAGAGGGGGAAGAGGGGGAAGAGGGGGAAGAGGGGGAAGAGGGGGAAGAGGGGGAAGAGGGGGAAGAGGGGGAAGAGGGGGAAGAGGGGGAAGAGGGGGAAGAGGGGATCCCTGGAATTCATCTAGTCCAAACACGTGTTTAACACAGAGCTAATTTTTAAGTTCAATCAGGTTACTCAGGGTCTTGGCAAAGACAGTTTCCAAAGTCTGGAAGGATGGAGACTCCACAACCTCATCCAGGCCTCAAAAACCACCGCCACGAAGGATTTTTTCTCACGGACTTCACTGCGACACCGCCTCTTCCCCTTTTGCTGCACGTGCCTGAAAAGAGCCTGGCCCTCATCTTCCAGCTGCAAGAGCCGGCGGGGCCCTCCTCAGCCTCCCCTTCGCCGCGCTGACCACCACCCCCGCGCCAGCCGCTCGGGGGGCGAGCGGACGGGTCCCTCT